AGGCTGCTCCTTGGAGGTAGATATTCTGAAGCTCCGTCTGACATACTTTGGTCATGTTGTAAGGAGAGATCAGCCATTGGAGAGGGACATCATACTTGGAAGGGTGGAGGAACAGTGCAAGAAAGGAAGACCCTCAATGTGATGGTCTGACTCAGTGATTGGGATAATGGAGGTAAGTGTGTCAAAGACAAAAAAGGTTGACTCCAGATAGAGCAGGGTTCAGAACTGTGGTACACAGGGTTGCCATTAGTCACCAGTGACTTGATGGCACACAAGAACAACAACAACATATAACTCGACCCAAAGTAAACAGGGGCAGACAGAAGGAGAAGCACTTCAAGACTGGTCTTCCATCAGCAATTTGGACTGGTGCATCAGCTGAGCCTGATGTTCCTTCCCAAGGTGGAAAAGTTTGGGTAAAAATAAATGACAAATGGAAGCAATGAGAAATAATAGCTGAAGGTAAAGAAATGGATAAATGGGTTATGCAGCAGGGGAAATCTAAAATGATACTAATACCTCAAGAGAGACTCAGAGCAAGGGCGCACTCTTTTCTCAGTAAAATTTTATGAGAGGCTAGAGAAAGTGAAGCCAAGATAACTCTTTGAGAACGTGATTAGATTTAAATGAATACCTGCAGTAGATTGGAATGACTGAACCTGAGGAAACTCACCCTGAGGGATCTTTGCCCTACTGAAGGATTAACTGTTGATGACTGTAGGGGCTGGTAAAATGATTAACTGAGGTGAATCCTTCAAGTACAAAAGGGACGAAAAAGAGCCACATGTTGACCTGAAGAGCAGTAAAATACTTTTGGCCATTTTGGTCATAGTCTTTCAAGGAGACCCTGTGGTATTGTGGGTAAAGCACCCAGCTGATAAACAAGTTAGTTGTTTGAATCCACTTACTGCCCATGGGAGATAGATGTAGTTGTCTGCCTTCCTAATGATTTAGACTTGAAATCTTGAAATCTCTGTGTTGTTCTTAGATAATGTCAAGTAAAGTATGACTCACTGTGACCCTATGAACAGCAGACCTGACCCCTGTCCTATTGGGTTGTTATGAGTCAGAATTGACTCCATGGCCAAGTTTCATATGAGTTTTGGTTTTTGAGCTATAGTCTTTCTGACTCTCACAAAAACTGAGGGGGTGTGAGACTGCTCTGGCAGTCTACTGATAAGAAGCTGCACTGCAATCCTAAAGGTATGTGGTTTGAATCTACCAGCTGCTCTGCAGGAGAAGTCTCTTTCTATGTGATTTACTGCCTCTGAAAACCTGCTGGAGTGTCAGCTATGGCTCATTTCTAACTTGCCAGCACACAACCACATAACTTACCAAATGGTTTAGACAACTTGCTGTTCATACAAGTAAGAAAAGTTTGTGGATGTGGGATCATGAAAATAAAGATATATGGAACACTAATGAGAGGACTGGTCAGTATTGCCTTCAACTAGGCTTAAAGGGGAACATGCACACAGAGGGAGGCACTATAACACAGAAGGCAATGAAGTGGGGTGCAGCAGTAGCAAGAGTGACAGCAGTAGAAGAGGGAAAGAACCAGAAGCTGAATGTAAGGTGCAAGACAGGGGATGACACGTGCCTGAGAAGTCCTCCAGCAGGGTCCAGCAGCAAAGGGTTAGAGGAAGCTGTCCTAATCAAGAACTATGTCTTGAGTTTTTTATACTACTTCCGAGTCATCCACGATCCTAAGTTGCATCCTCTTACTTCCTATAGACCACTTAACTGTAGGTACAGCTTGTAAATTCAGTGACGTGTTGCAGCAAATCCCCAGCGATGGAGTGCTGAGGAAAAGAACAGTAGCTGATGTAAGACAATGAAATGGTTCAATAGTTTGGAAAAGCTGGACATTTGGAACATCTTTAACCTCTGCTTCATAGAAACCAGTTTTGTGCTCATCCTTGGAGAGGAAATTATATATTGAGATATAAGGACTGGTCCTGTCACCTCAATGAAGGATCACCCTAAAATAAGGACCCCCCCCCGTACAGTCAGTCTAGTCATCAGTAGGCATAAACCTCAACTCCTTCTGCCCAGCCCTGCTTTTTTCTATCCTTAGAACACACACACACACACACACACACACACACACACACACACACACACGATATAAGAATATATCTTAGTTCATTAAAATAATGGAGCTCTTAAGTGAACTAACTCAGTAGCATAAGGAAAAATATCTAAGACCATTATTGTAGAAATAGAAAGATAACTAGTAAAACGTGAATGAGGATCCAAGAGGAGGAGGGTGGGGGTAGAGGGGTGAGGTTGTAGGGTGGAGGGAGTAAGTACAATTTGTTGCACAATTTGATAGGTGGGGGGAGGAGGGTGTGGGTAAAGGAAATGGGAAAGATCCAGTGTAAAAAACCGTGTATATAAACTTTGTAAGTAAACCAGTATAAAATGAAAATTTTACTAAAAAAAATAAGGAGCTCTGGTGGCTTAGTGGTAAGATATTGTACTGGCAACATCAGGATATGCTACTCGAATCCACCAGCTGCTCCATGGGAGAAAGTAGGACAGGCTCTTTTCATGCAGTTAACTACCTCTGAAAATCTGCTGAAGGATCAGCTGTGTGTTGGTTCTGACCCTACAGTGGTATACAACAATAAAAACAAAAT